TATAATTATAGAAAAAAAAATAAAAAAAACAACAAAAACTTGAGTGAAAGTTTACAGTGCAAATCCATCTTCATCATGTACGATCATTCATTCTACCTCTTCCCTCCTTGTGTTTCTCATTTCCATTTCACTCTTCCTCCTAATTCCTTCCTGATTTCTTGACTCCATTGTCACATGGCTGGCTTCTCAGTGGCTATGTCTTCTTCTTCTTTCTCTTCTGAGGACAGTGATTATTGGATTGAGAGTCACGTAAATCCAACAAAAATCTCACATTAGAAGACCCTTCCAAGTAACACCTGCAAAGATGACATTAGGAGGCTCTGCATGGGCGTGGATATTGTTATGGTGGGTTTGCTATTCAATCCATGGGACTTTAAGTCCTCATCTGCTTGTGAAAGCTGGACTGTGAAGAAGAAAGATACAAGAAGAGTTGCTACCTTCAAATTGTGATGCTGCTGAGAAATATTGAATGTACCATGGACTTGCAGAAAAAGGGATACAACTTTCCTGGAAGAAGTACAGCCAGAATGCTTCTTAGAAAGGAGGTTCGTGTGATTTTGTCTCATTTTGGACCTTTGATGAGGAGGAACTGGTCCCTGGAGAAGACATCATGTTTGATCAGGTAGCTCATAGTCACTGCCAGCACGTCTGTTCCAGCTCCTAGTAACCCTGCATGAGATTTTCTACCCTGTCCGTCTAATGGGAGGAAGCAAACTCATCTTTCTCCTTCCGAGTCGATGGTGGATTTGAAATGCTGGAGCCACTTGATCTTTTGGATGTTAATACAACATGCAATGGCCAGCCCCACAGGGCTCCTGCTGGTAAAGTACAGGGTCAAAGGCAATAGAGGATGATGTTCAATAAGATGGAACAGCACACTGGTTGCAACAGTGGGCTCAAGCTGAGCAGCAGTAGTGAGGTTGAAGCAGGACCGGGCTGTAGGTTGCTTAGAACCAACCCAGGGAGCCCCTCACCACGTTCAGCCTCTTCAGACACTATCCTTTTTGCCCTCTTTTGGAAGATGAGCATCTGCCGGACCCCATGGTCAGTGACATCCCTGGGAGCTGGGATCTGAGCTCTGGCCGCCTGGCCTGACTGCTGTCCCCTTTTCCAGGAGCCTCGGCAGAAGGTGATACCCAGAAACAAGAACCCCTGCACCCACCCGTGAGTCCACAGTGACCTTGGCCTCCGTTTGGGTCTGGTTACTTAATCTCTTTGGGTTACAGCTTTCTCTTTTGTAAAGCTGGGCTGACAGTTCCTCAGTGTAGTGCAGTAAAGAGGATTAGGTGTGTTAATACAGGTAAAACAGGAGATAATGTATGTAAAGCTCTGGGAAAGGCGGCAGCCCTGTGGCAACAGCTCTCAGAACATCTTCGCTCCGTAAATGCACAGATATTATTGAGCACCTGTTCTATTCCAGGCAGTGCTAGGATGCATACCGTTTCTGGCACCAGGCAGCTGTCTGTGAGAGGACAGGACAATTTTTCTTTGGGGTGTCCCCAGCGCTAGTGACCTCCAGTTGTATCTATCTTTGCTTGTGGGAGAACATTACTTGAGTGTGCTTCTTTGTTGTGGGTTCTTTGACTGACTTTTACATAGTAAGGATGGTGGCACAGTGGTTAATTGCTCACCAGTCAACCCAAAGGCCCATGGTTCGAACCCATCAGCCACTTGAGGGCACAAAGATGAGGTAGTCTGTTTCTGTAAAGATTTAACCCACTGGAGGGATGGTTTTGTACTTTTCTGTAGATTTGCTGCAAATCAGAATCGAACTGATGGTGGTGGTTAACATAACAGATGTGTTCATCTAAATATTTTAGTGAATGGACTTTCAATTACTGGACTAAATGTGTTTTTTGCTGCTCAAGCATCAATCTTTTTATCTCCTACAGCTAAACTCAAAGCTATACCTTGCCGATGGTCTTAGGTACATCTAATTTAGGCCCACACAGCAGGGTAGCCTCAAAGCCCTGCTCTTATCCTAGCTGGTCTCTGACACACTCCTGTGGTCATAGGCTTCCCAGGAAATTTCATGGTTAGAGAACCAGTCATTGGTTTTATGGGGCGTGGGGTCACTGCAGGGGTCAGAGGATCTGCAGAGCCTAGCCCTGACCTTGCAGGCCCGTCACAACAGCCGGAACACTGAGTCCTTCATTGTTCCTTGTGGAAGTGGGTTCAGGTCATATGGTATCAAGCCACACTGCTGCTGTATCTGGCCTGAGAGCTGTGTCACTTTTCTCAGAGGCGGAGCGTGCCTACCCTCTCCCAGCCTGTGGACAGTGGCTTCTCAGGCAGCCCCAGGACGTCTTCCTGCCTCTCGAATGGGCCTGCAGAACTGCCTTCCTGCATGTACCTGTCTCACAGACACACCCCAGGCTCTCTGGACCAGAAAACAGTCAGATCCAGTGTTTAGACAGACAGTTGATGAGCTTTCAGGGCTCTGTTCACATCACTCCTGCCCATTGCCCACCCCTCAGGGAACACGGCCATGGTCTGCTATTGTTCCCAGGGATATAGTTGTACTCTATACGGTTATCAGTCACACAGAAACAAAAGCGTCTGACGTGTTTTCGTCTTCCACCCACCAGGATTAAGGCCGCGGCAGGAGTGAAGATAACGTCGGTGAGAGTCAGCAGTGAGGATCAGTGGGCCGTCCAGGAGGAGGTAGACAACAGCAGTGAGCAGACCACGGCCACCCTCACCTGCGTGGGCCACCGCCCAGACACACAGAGCAGGTGAGCATAAGCGGCAGCCACCGGGCGAGTGGTGGTGGCCAGAGCTGAGAGAGCAATGTGTTTCTGTGTTGGTGCACAGGGTACCATTGAATCGTTCCTGTCGGAGCCCCTGTTGAGAATTTGCTTTTTCACTCCAGACAGACTGAATCAGCATGTGCATGTTAACAAGAGTCTTCTAGCTCTCTGGGCGATTCTTGTGCTCGTACCTACTCCTCACTTATCGACTACCTCGTTACCTGACATTTAGAATTTATGACAACAGTAAAAAAATCTACCACTGGCTACCTTGTGCCTTAACAGACGCCAAGGTGCAGGGAGGAACACTGGTCGTGATGGGTCAGGTGTGTGTGAGCCATGATCCGCAGTGGCTTGGCAGTTTCGCAGTGACGTTATTTGACAGTTCAATCATAATGTGATTTGGCACTTACACAGTGATGTGATTTGGCACTTACACAGTGATGTAATTTGATAGTTCTGCAGTGATGTAATATGACAGTCATGCAGTGATGTAATTTGGCAGTGTATGTGATACCATATGGCAGTATATAGTGATGTAATTGGCAGTCATGAAGTGATGTAATTTGGCAGTTAGCCAGTAATGTAATTTGGCAGCTAAGTAATGATGTAATATGACAGTTTTGTAGTGATGTCACTTGGCAGTTATGCAGTGGTGTGATTTGGCAGTTATCCAGTGATATAATATGACGCTCAGGTAAGGCTATAATTTGACCATTATGTAGTGATCTAACTTGGCAGTTATCCAGTGATGTGCTGTGGCAGCCAAGTAACGTGACCATTACGTGGTGGCCTAACTTGGCAGTTATGCAGTGGTGGAATTTGACCGTTATGAAGTGATGTAGCCATCCTGTATTTTGTGATCTATATGATCATTTCCATTTTCACCTAAGACCAGTTTCTGTCTGTTGGCTCGGGCTTTGGAACCCAAGTTAATAAGTGGGGAGTGGGTGCAAATAGTTTACTTGTAGATCTTGTTGGAACAGAGACTCTGTATTTTGGGTGGAAATGCAAATTCCCTCTGTATATAGTGCAACACTGCTGCGTTGAATAGTAGCGTGCACCCTTTGCCTCTTGGCAAGCTCAGCCTGGGGCTTCTGATGACAGGAATTTGACAACATAGCTCTAAATGCACAAATGTTGTCGGGTTGGCAGCCCCTAGAGTTCCCTGGGCTCACGTGTGTCACAGTGTGGGCTTTGAGAAGAATATGTCATCGTTTCGTTCTTACCACTGTGATTTTTTTTTGTATGAAGAGTTGAAGACTCAAGTGGGACAAGTCGACCCACTCAAAAAGGTGCAGAGATAATGTCCTTCTATGAGCCAAGTTAAGGGGGCATGGGCTGCTGGGAGACCAGCCATTCCCCTGTGCCTCAGGGCTGTCCTGTTGCAGCTGTGCACCTAGTCAATGCATGGCGTAGACTTGGGACATTCAGCCAGGTGAGCTTGGTGCTGCTGGCAGGTGGCCCTTCTGTGGCTTAGACATGGCCTAAGGTCCCTGGGAGTGGGCACCCAGGCCTTAGAGGATCCTGGTCCTGTGCCCTGCTTGCCTCTAGGACCCACGGTGTTGGGCACAGTGGAGGTGCTCCCTGAGTAGAGGATGGGGTGGGTGGGGAGGTAACTGATGGGGTCTGCTCTTCCAAGTGGAGTCGTGGGAGGGTGATGTCTGGAAAACCTGAGAAGTGGGGTGATTAGGCCGAGTCTGCTCTCTTTTCTATAGCAGTGTGGTGAGTGTTGTCTATGGGGACTCAGAAATGGGGTGATCTGGTGGTATCTGGTCTTGCCAGTGGAGTCATATGGGGGTGCTGTCTGGGGGATCTGAGAAGTGGGGTGATGGAGTCAGTTCTGCCCGCTGGAGTCCTGGGGTGAGTGCTGTCTGCGAGGGGCCTGAGAAATGGAGTGATGGGTGGAATCAGTTTGCTCTTCCCAGTGGTGTCATGTGGGGTGCTCTCTGGGGAACCTGAGAATGGAGTGGTCAGTCAGATCTGCACTCTGTGAGGAGGTGTGTGCTGAGTGCTGTCCACTCTGGGGTGACCCCATCCAACCCCGCCAGAACTCTGTGCTGCCTGGCTTTGAAGCTCCCTTTCAGAGGGAGAGCAGAGCCTCCAGTTGCGTGGTTAAAAGCCTCTGTTATGAGGGAATAATTGGCCTGGTGACCTGGAGGCTTCTCATCCGAACTCGACGTTCTGACCTTGTCCTTGCAGCCACTGCAGCCTCACTTGACCTGGTGTTGCTGGCCAGCTGTGCCTGCCAGGGACCGTGTTCAGATCCTGTGCCCCATCCGTGGGCAGAGCGTCGCTCGGGGCTTGTTTGCCACGATGGTTCAGTCCAGGTGATCAAGTGCTCATCTGAAAGTGGCGGCAGTAGAACCTTGAGCTGCTGGCGTGCCTTTGAATCAACCCCACTGGTGTTCCCTCGGTGACCCCTTAGGTGATACCCCAGTCACCTCTGCATTTAGCCCCCTTGTGTGTGACCCCCAGTCAGCCCCTTGTGTGGCCCCTCGTGTATTACCCCCAGTCAGTCCTATGTGTGACCTCCTTGTGTGTTAGGGTGCTCACCGAGTTCCTGTCCACCCTCTCCCTGAAGCAGAGCACCAGGCTTCCCTCTGCAGAGCTGCTGGGTGGGCTCAGCGTCAGCCTATAGCCTAATGGTTGAGCCGAACAGCTTGTGCCACCGAGGCTGCCTGGCTGGAGCCAAACCCACTGCCATCAAGTTGATGCCAACTCACAGTGACCCTGGAAGACAGAGCACAACTGCCCCGTAGGGCTCCCAAGGCTGTGATCTTTGATGAATGCAGGCTGGCATTTCTCTCTTCTGCAGGGTGACTGTGAGTTCGAACTGCTGACCTTCCCGTTAGCAGTTGAGTACTTAAGCAATGCATCCCCACTGGTTTTTTTCTCTCTCTCCACACATGCCCCTCCTCATATGTGTGAAGGCATGCAGTTCAAATCCACCAGCTGCTCCATGGAAGGATGAGTAACCCCTCCCACCAATGGTCCATAACAACAGAACAGTCTGTTAACGGTGGTGCAATAATAATATCATGAACAAGTCATAAAATTTGCAGGAATGGCCAAAATGTGGCACAGAGAGACAAAGTAGTGCAAAAGTTGGGGAAATGATGCCCATAGGCTTGTTCCTTCCGTTTGTAAAGGCAGTATCTCAGAGAACACTAGCACAAGAGAGGCCTGTGTACGCGGCCAGTTGCCCTTCACTAGGGAGTCAGTTCTGGTTCCTGATGATCTGACACGTGTCCGAGTAGAATGTGCTCCATAGGGGTGTCAGCACCAGGGTTTTTTAGGGAGAAGGAATTCACTTTGGTTAGTAGATAGATTTTAAGTGTTTACAATTGTATATATGTGTGTGGAGATAGAGACAGGGACATGGATATCTATATCATCATCTCTATATCTCTATCTATCATCTGTATCTATCTATCTATCTATCTATCTATCTATCTATCTATCTATCTATCTATCTATCTATCTATCATCTCTGTTGTTGTGTGTCATGGAGTCAGAACCAACTCATAGCTGCCCTTCTAGTGGGTTTTCTGAGACAGTAAATCCCATGGGAGGAGATTGTCCCTCCTTCTGGGGAGCAGCTGGTGGATTTGAACTCCCTGCCTTTGGGTGATCATGCAGCTTACCCCTAAGCCACCAGAGCACTCTGAATAGAGTATGGCAGAGTGCAAGCAAAGCTGTTTATACATAGTATGAAGCAACAACAACAACAACAAAATACACATGACTCACTATTTTTATGTGTGATACTCAGTTTGTTGTTGTGGTCTGTCTGGAACTGAACCTGTAATTTATCTGAGGTATTCCTGTGTGCATCTGTTTTTATATACATATGCGTGTATATGTGCCTGCATCTGTTTTTGTAGCTATATGCATACACTCACACACATACACGTATTTGTGCTTCTATGTGTGTGTGAGAGTGTGTGTGTATGTATGGTATCCATGGTCTGTGCGTGGGAAATAGTTTTGCTGAAATATTTGACTGATTAAGTGGTGATATTTTAAAAAGAAAGGATGGCACGGACTGTGTCGATCACTTGGTTTTTAGAGAATCAATTTCCCATTCTTTTTAGAACAGATAAAAAGAAAGGTTATGTGAGAAAAAAAGGAGTTATATAACCAGAGTTACATAATTATGAGACAGTCTCCCACCCCAGTGTCCTCCTTCTCCTTCTTTCTTCTTCTTCACACTCTGGTCTGACCTCCCTTGGGCTAGGAGCAATTTTTTGCTTTAACATGACACTTGATGCTTACCCAATATCCCTCTCAAATCCATCCATAATCTAAATAAATAATTGCTTCTTTTTATACTTTTTTTGTTGAATTGTGATATCAAATGAGGTGTGAAATGTAGGCTCATGGGCCCTGTTTGCCGGCTAACAAAGTGAATATATGAATACATGCCTAACAAGCAGGCTGCAGAAAGCGGTAATCTCTGAGTTGTGACAACCTTGGGTGGAATAGAGTCTTTAATAGAATATAATGTACAAACTGCCTGAGCCGCTGTGATAAGAATTAAAAATGTGTTGTGTGGAAAGACCCATTGCCCTCAGTGAGGAAGGCAGGGAAGTTCTTAATTTAAAATACTTTAATGAACACTCATTGTGAGGAAATGTGAATAATGAAGATGGAAACCTTAGATAAAGAGTCTGGTTGCCAAAAGGGGAGAGAAGAGATTAAGGAAATAAGCAAATCATGAAGTGTTCAGACAGCAGGCCTGGAAAGCAGGGCAATGAAAACCAGGCGATAGATGATTTGTAAGGGAATCTCATGCAACCTGATACCTTGAGATGAGGTTGTCCGTCGAATGATCTGTCTGGATTTAGGGACCCCAAGCCTCAGGGGAATGAGCTGCAGCTTCTCATGCATCCAGAAGCTGTGAAGCTGTATGTTCTTTTTTAAAAATTTTTTTTTAGTTGTTTATTATTTTTTGTATGTGTACCATCAAATGAGATCTGACT